GGAGGGTGGAGGGGGTGAAGGGAGGGCTAGGAATGGGGAAAAAATAAGAACCAAGATGCATCATGTAAAGGTACAAGTTCCCAATGAGAAATGTAATTGTGTTGTATACCTACAATGTACCAATAAAAGAATTTAAGGGGAAAAAAAATGAGTGTGCCAGGATCTGAAGACCTCAGTGAAACTAGTGTGACCAGAAAACAAAAGCCATTTTTCCTCTTTTTAACTAAGTCATTTTTCCTCTTTGGAACTTCCTGAGGTACCTTGGATCTGCCTTAAGGTCATTTTAGAAACAGGGGACAGAAGGCTCACATCTCTGCTGTTTAGGACAAAATCAAGTGTCCTTCACAACCACGAATCTGCTCATAGCCCAGCAAAGTAGAAAAGCTTTCTGCTCACTCTGGAGCAGAACAGCTTGGGTCAGTGGCTACATGCAGAGTAGTAGTCTGAAGGGTGAGACGACAGCGTAGGACCCGGCATACAACACAAGCACTTACTTTCCATGGAGGCCTTATGGACACCATTATTCAGGGATTTTTGAGGGAAAAAATATACAGAATTGTAGAATTTAGAAATGGAGTGATCATCTGTCAAAGTAAGTGTCCAACTATCTGCTGAGATTTCCAGTGTCTGTTGTAAGCAGTGTCTTATGGGTGCAAAGCAATCTGAGCCACCCCTTCAGAAGCTATTGCCTACCAAGGACCTAATAAGTAGATCCAGTCTCAAAAGAAAACAAACCTCCCTAAATACCATGCAGTCTTTGAGCTTGGTGGAGCTCTGCAGAGCTAATTAACTGTTTCACACATTCAAATCCATGCTGCCTTTGACAGTGGAGGGGAATAATCTTTGGGCTCTGTGTGATTGGCCTGTGACTGTGTGTCCCCTACTTACAGAGCTCACCATGTGCCTGCCTCAGGACCACTGACAGCCCCCTCAGGTGTATATAGCATACGATCATCTTTTCAAATGTCACTGAACACATGCCTTGCCCCCTTTCCGCTCCAAGTACCCCACACTTCCAAGGCTTACACTCCCCACCAGCCAGATGGAAGGTCAGCCACGAAAACTCCAGTGGGCATGTGCCATGAGAAAAAAACAAAGTGCAGGGATGGGGGCAGAAAGTCACAGGAGCAAGGAAGCTGGAGGGCAGACTTAAGTAAAGCTAAATGAATAACTGCGATTCTGGGTCTTCTCCATTCCTTAGGAATTTTGATTGTATTGTCTAGTGTTGTGAGGAATTCTGTTGGTATTTTGATTGGGACTTTGATCAGTTTTAGAAGTACGGACATTTTGACCATATTACAGTGACCCATGCATACTCATGTTTGTAGCAGCACAATCCGTAACACTAAATCTTGGAAGCTGCCTGTGTGTCCATCAACAGATGAATGGATAGAGAAAAATGGTATTTATACATAAGGGAGCACTACTCTGCCACAAAGGATGAACTTGAGTCATTTGTAGGAAAATGGATGCACCTTGAAGACTATAATGTTCAGTGAGGTAAATCAGACACACAAGCTTAAATATCATATACTTTCTCTTATATGAGGAGCCCAAAATATAAATAAAGAGCAAAATAAAAGGTAATGAGAACTAGGGAGATAGATCTTTTTCAAATGAAAGGGATCAAGAGATGGAGGGGGGATGAAGAAAGAATTGAGATGTGTTATATACATGCACCAACTTCCCACAAGGAATGTAATCATGTACTAATAAAAAATAAAGCTGAAAAAAATTAAATGAATAATTGACGCATCACATGTATGGGCAGTTTCCCCATCTTTCATGCATTCAAGTAAATGAAAGCTGTGCTTTTATACTTTTGCTGAAGAACTCAGAGAAAAGCCTAGTTGCTTAAGTTGACTTGCCAAAACTGACTAGGCCTGTGCTGTTGGGGAAGAGGTGGGGCAGAGTGTGACGAGGAGGATCTTCAAACTCTGTCGTATTGCTTGAGGTTTTGTGCCATTTTTAAAGATTATATCTGTATCTTACTGGAGTTAAGGCAAGGAAAAGCCTCCTCCACTCAGGTGAGCCTGGTGAGTTAGTCCTTGTGGGAGTCATCCTCATCTCGAGCCCGTCCTGAGCTCAGCCTCTGTCTTCCAGATTGAAGGTGGTGACTGTGAGTGCAGCCCGGTGGGGAAGAACTTCCCTGAAAACCAGATCCTCATCAAGCGCATGATGATCAAGTGTGCCGACGTGGCAAACCCCTGCCGCCCTCTGGACCTGTGCATCGAGTGGGCCGGGAGGATCTCTGAAGAGTACTTCGCACAGGTACACCGTGGCCCTGGGTTCCCTCCTGCCGAGGAGCTTTAAGCAGTTTGAGCTCCTCCTGCCTGCAAGGGTGCTGTGGCTCGCCTGCCCTTAGTGGGTTCCTGGGGCACTCACAGGTGGCGGGGGAGCGGGGAACAGACCCAACCTTTAGAAGTACATTTGCATCCTCAAATTCTCAAACTCTAAACTTGCACAAGAATTAGGAACCCCATGAATTCCCTGGGTTACTGGTGTCTGCAAAGCACATTGTGGGGATAGATGTGGGTATTATATCCCTGGCCAAGGGTCACTCACAATCCAGCCAGGAAAAGAAGGCTGGTAAAAAATGAAAAGTCCTGCACTCAAGAGGCAGAGGCAGGAGGATCACTGAGTTCAAAGCCAGCCTGGGCCACATAGTAAGTTCAAGGCCAGCCTGAACTACATAGTGAGACCCTGTCTCAAATAAATTAAATAAATAAATAAATAAATAAATAGGGCCGGAGATTTAGCTCAGTGGTGTGGGCGCCTGCCTCACAAGTGCAAGGTCCTAGGTTCGCTCCCGGGTACCAAATAAATAAATAACGAAAAGTGCATCTGAAAGAAGTGTATATGTAAAGTGTACAGAAATCCAAAAAGACTTTTCTAGATACAAAGGATGGAAAAATACAGTGAATGTTTAAAATGATTTTTAAATTACTACTGTAAGACACATTGCTACTAACCCCCCTCAAAATACCCCCATCCCACTTAAAACACACGTATCCCATCATTTTTGCACTTTCTGAAGCAGTTCTGGAAGTCCTCTTTTGTGTATCTTTACGAGGTGTGATAAAAAAAAAAACATATAGTGAATACTGCTGCTGAGCACCATCCAATGAAAGGCAGACTTATAAAGAAATTACTGTGTGTCTTCATCCACCTTATTCCCTGAATCTGGCACTGTGTGACTCCTGGCTCTTCCCTAAAGTAAAAATGACCGTAAAAGGTAAACATTTGGATTGCTTCAGGATATACAGGCAGCCATAGCAGTACAATTAGAGACACTCAGGAGAGAAGAATTCCAGAACTGCTTCAGAAAGTGGCAAGATCAGTGGGATAAGTGTCTTCAAAAGCAGGCTAGGGTAGTATTTTTAGAGGGATTAATGGCAATGTATCTTTTTCAGTAATAAATTTTTAATACACACATTTTTAAATCACACCTCATAAAATGGAAGCTTTATGCAAGCGGAGCCAAAAGTTGGTAGGAGACTATGAATGGGCTTCTCAGGACCCAGAGCAAGAATGTGAAATCTCACTCCTAATTCCTCCGTGCACATAAATGAAGAGTGAAAGACAGAGGGGCCAGGGATTTAGCTCAGTGGTTTCACTGCCTGCTGCACAAGCGCAAGGACCCGAGTTCGATTCCCGGTACCAAAAAAAAAGAGTGGAAGACAGCCACTCCTAAATTCTCTGATGAAACCTTCCTATTTAGTTATCCTCTTCTTAAAAGGAATATACTAACAAGCCAGTGTGACCTAAAGATCAAAAAAGTCACAAAGGGAGCCTTAGATCAGCTGCTTCTGGTTATGTAGCCATTCAGCTTAGTCATTGTGTCCTTAGACACACGAATGTATGCTTTCATGTGCATAGTACTCAGATTTCCACACACCTTGAGAGCTGTTTGACTAATACCCAAATCTGAACAATCACAGTATGTCACTCTTTGGAAAAAAATAGTGCTTTCTGGAGAAAAGCAGCTAGTTCACAACTCGATTGCATGAGTGCTGTTCTTGGAGACACCCATCAGTCTCTGGTGTGTGGCACAAAGGCTTTCCATGTTCACCCCACTAGTCACACAGGATATGAAAGACATGTACTCACAGGTTGAAATTTAATAGAATTAGTAACTATTAACATTTCAAAGAGGTCATTCTTAAGTGAAATTTTTTGCAAAGCTGCAAGCGTATGGCAGTGAAAACTACAATGATTGCTACTGATCTGTTAGGCACCAGCAGCTTCACCCACCGCTCTGCTCCAGGGTGTCCATGACAGTAGTAGCGGGAGGGACAGTACTGTCAGGCTTTGAAAGAGTTTTGACCATACAACAGGTCACAGAAAAGAGGGCTAAGAGTCTGTGCTCCAGGAGGGGGCAGTGGCTCAGCATCAAAAGGGAGAAACTGAGTCAGGCGACCTGACTGCAGTCACCGCAGCTCATCCCACAGTTGATCTAGGTCTCAGGGAGCCTGTTTCTTCACAGTTAAAACTGGCCAGGAGCATGAGAGCTCACAGGTGCTTTGGAGACACAAGCTGTCACTGTGAAGGCTCCTCTGTGCCCCACAGCCCCGTGTGGTGGTGTTTTTTCTTACAGACAGATGAAGAGAAGAGACAGGGGCTGCCCGTGGTGATGCCCGTGTTTGACCGCAACACCTGCAGCATCCCCAAGTCCCAGATCTCCTTCATTGACTACTTCATCACAGACATGTTTGATGCTTGGGACGGTACGTTGGCTACTGCTTCATCACCCACACACAGCATTCCGTTATCCTTTATGAAAACTGCCCTTGATGACACATGCTAGTCCTAAAGATAAATAATAGTTTTTAAAAAGTTAGCTGTCAGCTGTTTGTGGCCAGGTAAGGCAGATGCATGTGTCATATGTAATTTGTGCGTCCCCTGCGCTGGTACCTTTCCAGGTGTCTGCCATTTGCCTCTGAGTACAGAAGACCAATGAATGTGTGATGGCTGGACAAACAAGCATCCTCCTCAAGTGACATGTATCCAAAGTGTACAGCAGTTTTATTCTATCATTGAAATAAGATACAAAGGAATGCAAAATATATGGTGTCTATTCTGAATAGCAGGTTCTTTTGGTAAAGTCACAGGTGAACACCTTTTCAATCAATCACAAGGATCTGTGTTGGCATTTAATGGCTTTCTTTCTTGTACTTGTGTGTCCACTGCACCCTGGTACCTCTCCTGCACCTGTCCCAGAGAGCCCTATGATCTCACAGCTTCCCTTTCTTTCATGTCCTTGCAGCCTTTGCACACCTGCCAGCCCTGATGCAGCACCTGGCTGATAACTACAAACACTGGAAGACATTAGATGACCTGAAGTGCAAAAGTCTGAGGCTGCCGTCAGACAGCTAAGCCAAGCCAGAGCAGGGGACCTCTCGACCTACAAAGGGCACTGTGAACCACAGGAGTGTATGCAAGAGGCTGTCCTCTGTAACACATGACAGTGTAGGTTAAGGAGCTAAGGACTGATATTAACCTTGAATCATGCAAGTCCCCAAATTTCAGTTTTAGCAAGTTAAGTACCATGAAGAAAAATACACATTCTTTTGAACAGTCACTTAGTAAAAGAACAAATACTTGGCAAATCCTCTACCACGCCGTCATTCTGTGCACCTGTTTCACACCCTAGAGCTGAGTCGCTGTAACTGCCAGGAGACAGCAATGGCTGGTGCCTGTGAGGTCATCCCCAGGTGGTGACCAAGTAGCTTAGCTAGTGTTTGGTTCGTCTCTTACCATACAAGTCACCATTGCTGTTTAGCTTGACTGTTCTCAAGAGCATCGGTCTGAAGGATTGCTCAGAAGCTTATCTGAACAGATATACCTAAGAAAAAGGTTACATAAAATGAGCAAAACAACTGGGACCAAATTGTTGATGAACTAGTTAGCTTCACAGCTTCCATGGTTAGGTGGCTCTTCTGTTCAGTGGTGGGACACCCCAGTTAGAGAGCAGCCTTGGCCTGGTGAGCGCCCCCTCCTGGGTGTCAGCAACCTGTGCGGCCCTCTGCTCTAAAGGAAGGGGAAGCCATCCACGAGGGGGGAGGAGTAGCTTCACTCTTGGGGGAACCTATGAGATTCCCTTACTTCTGGCTCACGGAGGCAGCCATGAGGCACTATGCTGAGTATTACACAAAAGCCATCAAATCTAAATCCCCTTGGACAAGCATTTTTTTAAAAAAAAAATTTATATACATTTGCTGTCTAAAATTTTTATGAAAACTATCTAAATTTCCTGGGTCTAGGCCCATGGAGTTTGTTGTACCGTGCACCACCTAAACGTATATATTTGGGGAAGGGATGGGGAAGTTTCAAGGTTCAAATATTTTTAACTTACCTATATTTGAGATCATGCCATCTGCTCTAGTGATATATAAAAGGAATTGCAGGATGTATAAATATATCAGAATATGGAGAGTAAATACTATTTTAAGCTATTAATTGTATGCTAAAAGCTTCTGAAGCACAAGTGCATATTTTTATACAGCTCTTTTCACAACTTTCTGTGATCTACATAAACTCAGACTTGGGATTTTTCTTTCTTTTACCAACCCTTCTCTATGTATTGTGAATATTAGAAACTTAGTAAACAAAATATCTTAAGTTTCTCTCTCTGTACTCCATGCTGCATTTCTAAGAGATATAAACAGGGACTGAATTAACTGAAGCAGTAGTTATTTTTCCAAATGAAAATCAGAATGCAGAACACATGAAACTGGTACATGGAAAGAAAAAAATGACTTATCACTACATCATGTGCCAATGTTTTTTTCTATGTTTTGTACCAAAAATGGAAACATATATGACAATTCCATGCAAAGAAATGTATCTAAATTATTTTTGTTAGATGAGAAGAGAATTTGCTTGGTTGGAACAGCAGCCAGCTTTGTATTGTAATGCTGCATTATGTAAATGTGATGAAATGTTTTTGTGAAGTACCTGTAACTAAATTCCTACAGCCATTTTTCATCCCCAACAGCTGTTTTTATTTTACCTCTTTGGCCTAAATTTTTCATAATTTCAAATTTTGGGTTTAGTGTCCTTTATTTCATGAGTCACACACTTTGTTTTCATAACACATTAAAATAAGGATGCCAAAAACCCCTATTAAGGAGGATTTACAACTTATAAATTATAAAATAATTTGCCAAGACTTCAGAAGTTTGCTTCAGACAAGGACAATAATCTTTTTTTCTGACTTTTTGGTTCCATCTGGTAAGTAACATTTATCAGGTGTCTGACATTTTCCATATGAAACATTACAGCTTACTCAGTGTTATATCAAATCAATTTCATGTTAACTTCAAACTCTGATATTAACATGTGGATGTTAAATGCTTTAAGACAGCCAAGTACTAAAGCTTCAGCACAGCTCTGCTCTTAACTAGTATATTCTTCCAGGTAATCAATTTATTAGAAATACAGTCTTTCAGGTGGTATATGTACCAGATAGTTTCTACATAATACAAATGAATATAATTACCTCTTCTACTGAGCTATTTACTAAAACAGCATGTGTTGAGGGGAGACATTAATTTAGGAAAATACAAAATGATCTTAGTCTCATCATTACTATTACTCTAGCCAGAAGAAGTTAGTTGTAAAGCATTGTTACTGGACTTGAAGATTTTGAAATTTGCTTGTTCTGGGTGAGGACTGATTTACCTCTTGGGCAAGAACAAGGCCCACCAGCACCCACTCAACTCGGGAGAAATGGAAAGGATGACCCACTGCTTTCCAGTGTGCCATGTGAATAGCCAGAGAAGGAGGTAAAAGTATTTTAAATACAAATGACAAGGCACAATACATAATGTTAGTTCTGGTGTTGTTCATATTACTAAGTACTGGAAACCAAGCTAGGGAAATAGAAAAAAAATGCACATAATATATATTGAACTCAATTATCATTTATTGTAAATTGAAAGTTCAACTTTTAGCAAGTCTGCATGTTACTACTGAACAATGATTGGGTTCAGGTCTCTACCAGAATCTCCTATCGTGCTGCTGCCCCTCTTTGCTCTGCCTCAGGCACTTGGGAAAATAAACACCATAATAAGCTCTACCAAGAGGGTGAGAGGCTACCCTCTGAACTTACCAGTTTCTGCTAGTGGACAACCAGTTATCTACAGTGTAGTGACATAAGGGGTTTGCTGTGGTGCTGTGTTCCTAAAACTCATAAAAGCTTAACCGAGAAAAGTTAGGAAACAAAACAGTTAAAATCTATGAATTCCTATGTATTATACAATTTAAGAAAACATCTTTACTAACTCATGACCCAATATGGAATTTGCAAAGAAAAGCCCATGAGAAGAGAAGTAAAAGCTTTACATGAGTCTGCTGGAACCTGGCTGAAGTGCCCAACAGCCTGAGGTGGGGATCAGACCATCTGTCTGCTCTGCCTGGAGAAGGACACTGCCAACACTCTGATGTCTCCACCAAAGATCAGAAAGCTACCTCAGGGTGCTGGCTCAGTCAGGCCTTGGGGACAATGGTTCACTGGGTCAAGGGCAGTACCAGTTGTCACATTCATATTCTTCAGTGCCATAATGGAGGAGACAGCTTAAATTTTAGTATTTTTCCATAAAGCTATTTCCATTGTGAATTAACACAGCAACAATGTCTGGGAACAGTGTGCTGTTTCCTCACATGCTTGCCACATGGTCATCTAGGCCTTTCTCTCATTCCAGTCCTTTTCAGTTGTTTCTCAGCTCTGCAATGATAGTAACAGACACCACAGTACCAGGCTAACTAATCACAAGGCCTTGGTTTCCTCATTTATAACATCATGCCACTGGACTACCTAGATGAGCTGAACTGTGCTGGCGTGACTGCAGTGAGTAGTGAAACTTAAAACTAGTAAAAATAAGAATTTATAAAGACCCCAGTTAGGGAAGAGAGAGAGAGAGCACACATGTGTGTGTATGGGTGCACAAGATGCACAGATCTGCAGAAGGCTTCTTTGAGAAGGATCAATCATCTAACACCAATCACCTTGCCCTTTAATCTTCACCAGGATTCTTTAATCAACAATTTGGGACTAATTCCATAATTAAACCCACTCAATTGTCCCTGCATGGAATACTTTTTAACTTTTATCTTTCAGCATCAAAAGAGCCGAGAGGATTTTGTCACAAGGCTGGCGGAGTGGTGAAGACGAGCCAATTGCAGTAAACACACAAAGAACAACATAAGCGAAGCCACTCCCAGGGATTTCACACTACATCAGGGCTCAGATGGGCCAGGCACTTTTGGCTGCAGGACCTGGCCTTGCAGCTGTGGGCCTCTCTGCTGAACTAGTGCTGGTCCTTGGCACAGGGAATTCACACTGGAAAAGAAATACACCCTCATCAGATGCCTATGGATTAGATAGGATTTTAGTAGCTGGAACTACAAAATTTTTTAATGATTTAAAAAAATTAGTGCCAAAAATCACTGTACTTAAGTAGTACAGTTTGTTTTTTGGCTAAGATTCAAATTTGCCCCCAAGGAAATCTGCAGCAGAAAGGATATACTTATCACAAGAATTCTGAAACAAGTTCTAAAGGAAACCAAAAATAAAACTTAAGAACTATTTCCTCTATTTACACCACTTCACAAAGGTCTAGGTTCAAATAAAGAAATGTAAAACTTGCCCTCACCACATCAGTAGCACATAGCCCAGCGGAAGCCTATCGGTTGCTCTCTGGTGGGTGTACCAATAACACCTGAGAAGGCACACTCAGAAGAACTCCAACATACAGAATTTCATAGCTTGTCAAAAATTGCAAATTTAAGTGATCAATGTATCAGTGGTTCCCAGGTATTACTTTGTATTTGATGTTTGGGGTTCATTCACATTTATTCCTGATTCCTTATACTAGGCAGCACGGTACAAGTCACCATTCTCCTCTAACTTCTGGAATAATTTTAAACTGCGTAATCCAGATTCTCGCTCTCCATTTTTCCATACAATAATGAGATGATCAGCAGAACAACTAACTAGTCCATGATCTTCAAAATACAGGAACATCTGCAAAGAAAATTGAGATCACTGATTATAGGAACTTCAGCAAGAGAAATGCTTATACTGAATTTAAGCTTTACGATGTACCTAGAAAATTTCTTTTATTTCAATGTAAAATTATTTCATTTTTCATGAAAAATTCCAACTGTTGCTAAGTGACACAATTGGTTCCTCCTGCCCGGCCAATCTGCTCCCTGCCTCCAAATGCTGTCTTTGCCCTTTTGCTCCCATGTTCCCTGCTCATCATGCCGAACTATATATATAGCCACCAGGCCAAAAGGCTGAGCTACCTGTTAGAGAGCAAAGATGTGTGAGACAGTCCCCAACAGCAGGGAGCATACAGTGAGAGTTAATCCTACCAACCTTCACACTTCAGCTTAAGTCTCAAGTCCTGCATCTTCCACCAACATTTATAGGGTTCAGCAAGAGTGGTTTCTCTAACCCCTGAGTATTCACTGTCTGCTACTCTACTGGGTCCAGCAGCAGCAGCAGCTGAGAACAGCTTATTAGGTTTGTCTCCCTCCCCATGAGTGCCAGGACTGCACTGTGTACCTGTTCGTGAACTCCTGCATCTAGTGTCTGTGTAACCCAGGGGCTAGTACATATTCCTGGAATGCAGAAAATGCTTAATAGCCAGTGTAAGGAAGAAACCCTTTCATATGAAAAGCAATCTGTTGCTCACTAGCTATGAGACAGGAAGAACAGTCTGAAACTGCATTACTTAGGATCCTGTTTACACTATTATTATACTGTTACTCGTTCCAGTCACCTCATTTTCACTGATATTATTCATTACAGATAACAGGGCCTGAAGTAAATATGAATGTATCTGGATTTCCACAAGTGAGAATTTTATGTACCTTATAAATGTTAACTAATTTTCATATTTGTACATGTATAATGATAAGGTATAGGAGCTTTTTTTTCTTTTTGTGGTTGAACCCAGAGGTGTTCTACTGCTGAGCTACACCCCAGCCCTTCAGCCCTTTTCTTTCTTTCTTTTGTTCTTTTGCTTTCATTCTTTCTTTTCTTTCTTGTTTTAAATTTTGAGACATAGTGTCCCCAAGTTGCTTAGGCCAGCCTCAGATTTGCAATCTTCCTGTCTCGGCCTCCCTCAGTACCAGGATTACAGGCTTGTGCCTAGTCGGTACAGGGTTTTATAAAGATAACAAATTATCTATCAGAGACCAGAGAAAACAATGCACTGTTCATGAATTTGATAAAGGTCCTTGGAATTAGATTCATTAAGTCTTGAACCCTAAACTTACCACATCCCATCTGTATACATACATATTCCACATTGCTCACACTGCCCTCACTGTTAGTTGTCTCCATCTCAAAATAACGCTATGTCCATTCTCAAAAGCAATACATTCCTCAGAGCCTTTCTCTGTAAAGGGAGGGCCTCGCTGCCCATACTATAGACTATTCCATGTGCCAATCCAACACAAACCTACAGCTGAAAAAGCACAGGTCTTTCTGAGAACAGCTGGCAGTACACAGCATGTGGCACAGGCCTACTGCAAGCTGTACCTCCACAGAGGACGAGTGTCCAATCAGATCTCCAATGAGTTCCAGCGAACATGAAGTGGCATTTTCTTGTTCCTTTTTAACAGGTTGGCTGGCTTGTTTGTTCACTTTTCCAAATCCCCACATATTAAAAAAACCTAGAAAACACAATCATTTCAGTCATTCCCAAACTACTGTGCTCTACGAATTGCAAAATGAGACCAGAAAAACAGAAAATGCAAAAATGTTCCACATTTATACTAGTTAAGGGCTAAATAGATGGTACAAGGTACCATGTTAGAGTCTTTGAAATGTTATTTTGTTTCTTCTTTCTAACCAGGTTTATTCATCTCTTTTTACTGTTCACACCCATTGGTGAAGGCATATTCACGTGACAAAAAAAAAAAAAATAGACACTAAGAATAAAAGAAAAGTAAAACGGCCTGAATGGCAGTATCTAATTATCAAAAGAAAATAATGTATTCCAGCAAAAACAGAGAAGCAAAGCTATGCGTGTGTGCCTCACACAGTACCCTAGGACTTCATGGAAGTCAAAAGAACCAGAAGCAATTACAGGCACCAGCACCTGTTTCTCATCAAGGGTTGCTAACTAATCCATTCAAACATCAATATCCTGTTTTCCAAGCCAAACATCCACGTGTTAAGAGCTCATGAATTATCATATAAACACAAAGTGATTTTTTTCCATAAATTGAGTTCGATATTAATGATAATGCTTCAAGACTAGAGAATACTTTGACACCTGACAGTATAAATTTAATGTATCAGTCAAAATCATAGACAATCCAAATGAATAATTCATTAGGCCATTTGGTCACTTGGATTACTAGAAAATAATAAATTTCCCTCAAAACAATGAAATCCTAGTAGAGGTGGTTCTACATTAGGGTAGCCTGAAGACGTGGCTCCTATATCCCAATTACTTATGCCTCCTACTGATGCTTGTTTGGAGCACATTCTGTATTACTCCTGTGATTTCACACAATCACCTTTCTTCTGTCTTTTGCATGAGAAAGGCAGGGGACAGAGAGACCGAAAGGAAGGAAGGAGAAAGAGTGGAAAAGAGGTGTACTACTTTTTTGGGAAATAGACACACCTGTTGGTACAGGCTCAGCAACCAGCTGCTGTTTTTCTCGTAGCTCCCAAATGCGTACACTGCCATCTTCTGAGCAGGAGATTAACTGCCTGTCAGCAGAGAAAGTCAGTGAGACAAAGACAGAGCACCATGGTGGGCCAAATGCTAAATGTGCAGTGAAAGAAATCACTGGAGTCAACTGTTTTTATTCAGCTCTTGGCAGGAGCTGAGAAAAATCGCAATTTAACATGGCTATACAATGCAAACTGAAAGCATTCTTCAGAAAAGGCACACGTTACACTATGTGACAATGGCTCAAATACTACAAATTCTCTGTATTTTAAAAAGTGCACTTAGGCAAACAAGGTATGAATTACATTCCCACAATGTCCTGAGTAGCACTCCCTCCCTCCTCTTACTATATCTCTACAAGATGCGGCTCCCTCTAAATATACAATATATAATATATATATCCCAGAATTTCATCCCTAGAAATTCAGCAGTCAAACCCTGAGAAGGAAATACCCACTTAGTAGCATTAGCCATGATGGAGACTGCCATTTGTCTCTGGCTATAAACACACAACAACAAAAAGGTAGGTTCACAGAAAATATGAAAAGAAAAATGACTTTGTACATGGCCCAAAGCCTTTTCCTTTTATTATCAATTTTATATGACCTCATAAAATTCAATGTAATTCATTTGAACCTAGTTCTTGTAAATTTTGTCATATATTGCTACCAACTCTTCTGCTAGGGAGAGCCATAGGGCATTCTCCATTTCCAAAAGAATACACCAAGTCAAGCCACAGACCCAGGTAACTTGGACACTTGAGAAATTACACTGGTGAAAAAAAAAAAAATGAAAAACACTGGTGGCCCCAGGGACCATAACTTTATTTCATCTATTGCAGAACAGATGGACACTTGTACCTGTTTGGAAGTTTGGCAATGTGCAGGACATTTGAGTCATGTGCAGTCTTCTGGCAGGCAATCACACGCTTCATTTGAAGGTTATACACATATAAACCCCTTCCAACTGCAGCAAATACATTCTGGAGGGGAAAGTTCAGAAACAGGCATAAAACCAGTGCTTACTCCCTGGTGAAATAAATTTCCAACCTTTTGGAATATCAGAAAGCCATTACCTTCCCTATTCCCACCCTTTAGCCCAAATTACCACACTGCCCTCTGAAGTCCAAAACTGTCAAGGCACCGAGGAAAGCTCAGAGTGTGCAGTGGTCAGAGGCACCCAGCACTCATATGCAGGAGCTCTGCACATTACATCCCTCAGCACCCCTCTCCTCCTCACTGAAATACAACAGCTCAAGGAAGGAATCGTGACCGGCAGCCTGGGGTTTCACTCACATAACACTGCATTCTCAGGAAAATTACTTAGCTGTTTTTGCCTGAGAAAAGTGAGCAAAATTACTGTGCACTCACATCTTAATCAAGAGACCTATAAATGACATCAAAAATATGCTGTAGAGGCACTATCATCTAGGAGCCTCTGAAGGAGTCACAAAAACATTTTTCCAAATGTACATTAGAGATACCTCCTTACTAAAAGCATCTTAATCTTTTGAAAGCATGCTCACAAATGTCCATTTCACTTCAGCCTCACACCATCTCAAGGCCGGAAAGGCAACCATTACTGCCATTTTCCAGATCAGCAAGTTAAAGCTGTAAAAGGATTAAAGTCACAAGAAAGCAGTCAGGGAGTCAGTATCAGAATCAAGGTCATGTTATCCTTGCTTTCCTCATACCACACCACCTAGCTTCTAAAATTATTTTATGGGTTACTAGACTGGGTAGCACTCATCTTGGAAGCACTCCTTCTTAGTAGCCACTGTACCTCAAGAGCAGACATTTTAAAAACCTATATAAATTGCCCGGTACCAAAACAAAACAAAACAAAACAAAAAACAAAAACCTATATAAATTGTCTACTGTTTGCAACCAGAGACCTGGACCCTCTGACCTTTTGCACAGGCTGCAGAGCCAACTCAGACCTACACCAGCTAAACCAAAGCTAGCCCAGGCTCAACCAGAGTCTTAATGCGGAGAAATCCTGACTGGTTCTCTGTACTTGGCAATGCAAGCTGAGAACCAGTGCCAAGCGCACTGAAGAAAATAGCTCACCAAAGTGCTAAAACCTACAGCCCTATAGATGGCACTCAATACAAAACCCCAGAAACTTACTCTGCAATCCCAAGTTATTTATCCAAGATTGTGAAGGAAATTACAAACACTAGAATTCATGAGTTTAGGCAGCAGCATTCATTCAACAGATACACTCTATCAATCATCTGTCATCAATGATTAATGAGAGAGAAAAAGAACCTGTAGACCGTGAGAACTCAAAACAAATGGAAGAAAATTAGGGAGAAATGAGTGATGTTTTATCAAGTATTTATAGCAGCTAATTAAGATCAATAAAAAGTTTTAACATGAAAAGGAACAAAAAATAAATCTTTTAAATACTACATTTTTTCAAAAGTGAGAAAGATAAAGTTAAAGATACATGTAGTTTTTAGGTCTATAACTGAGCAATCTAGTCTCCATCTTTTCTGAGACCATTCTGTTTTTATTACATATATTTAGGGTTTTTTTAAAAAACAAATTTGGGGCTCAAAAACAATCTTTGAACATACATGTACTTTCAAAATCCTCTTCTTATCCTCTTCCTTTGTTCTTCCAGTAAGAGAGTTGCAAAGAAAAAATTTAAACTATCTTCCCTTTCCAGAACACTACTACTGATATTTTCTAATAAAAATAATAACATGTATGCGATTAGAAAGTTTAAAATGAATAGGACACAAGATAAAGTGAAAGAAACATTTTTTAAATTATATTTAGAAAAATAACTCTCCTTAAATACATTCTCTGAGGCCCTCTGGCTATAAGAAGTGATTTTTTTTCTTCAGAGCCAAGCCAAGATTCACTGATTGGCTTATACTCATCTTTTACAGGACAAGTGGATCAAGAACATCACTGTGAAGGCCTTAAGGACGGGGACCAGAGATGGGCAGTTCTCATTCAATTATCTTATGCAGGATGCTAACAGACTAAAAGAGAAACATTCCTGAAATGTTAACTTTCTTTGACCTCTCTAAGAAATGTACCAAAATCTGTGGCCATCTTACAATTTCCTTGGCTCAAGATTAGAAGCAAAGATTAAAGTCATTTTTTTTTAATGTAAGTAGTGCAATCTTTGTAAACTATCAGATCATTTTAAGGCAAAACTTGAAACTAAAAAGAATAATACTTTTTATGTCCATAATGGGGGATTTTAAAAATCAGAAATTAGATTTATAGATTTCTTTTACCTCTTCAGCACATGAGAAATGATGAATAGAAACGTCATTTGGTTTCTGACAGAGTTTGATTTCTTGCTGGACATCCAGCTGTGGAGATGGGTCCCAGAAGTTGCGTTCGTAGGCCTGCACGGTCCAGTCCAGTACATCCCAGATGATCAGCTCCCCAACATGGGAACCAGTGACAAAACTCACATCTAGGCAGAGTTCACAGACCTCCATTACTGATTAGTTCCTCTAGGCCAGTGGTGCCAAACCTCTGGCACGTGTGTTAGTGTGTTACTGGGTTTTTCTTTTAAGACAAAACATGTTAATGTAAGAGTTGTTTTTTCTAAACTATAACCTCAGTATTCAGGTTTAAATGCAGTGTTGGCACTCTGCGATAAATAAGTGGGTTTTGAGTTGCAGTTTGAGCACTCATCTCTGAAAGATTCGCCATCACTGCTCTAGGCTAATGGTAGAAATGAATGGACTGTTTATAGCAATGCTCTATAAACCACAGCGATCAGAACAGTGAGATACCTAGAGAGGCACACAGATTCTACAACAGAACGAAAAGACCAGAAATAGACTCAAGTTCACTAATGACTTAATATGTTTCACTTTAGTAAAGAAGTATCTCATGCTAGAGTATTTGGTCAAGATGTAAGGGAATAAAAATAAAAGAACTTTACCTTGGATCATATACCAAAATAACTTTTGAATAATAGAATAAAACATTACAAGTACATAAAGGACTGAAGAAAATGAAGGTGAATAGTTTTGCAAATATGGAATGGTAAAGGGCTCCAAAGGAAGGAGGGAGAGGGAGACAGATCTGAGTATATATTTGCTTGAGGGGGAAAAATCTCCAGGCACGGAAGCACACACCTATAATCCAGCTACTCAGGAGGCTGAGGCAAGTTTGAGGTTAGCCTAGGCAACTTAGTGAGACCCTGTCTCAAAAAAATAAAAAGGGCTGAGGATGTATCTCAGTGGTAGATCATTTGTCTAGAATGTGTGAGGCCTTGGATTTAATCCCCAGCACCACAAAAACACAAACAACAAAAAAACCCAAACGCTTAAATGACAAAAAGCTGGGGAGAATATGCAATTTAAAAGTCAAAATAGGTTTGCTATATTTGATGCATAAGAACTTTTTGGAAATCACTAAGATCACCATAAATACCCCAGCAGAAAATATATGCAAAGGACCTGAACAGACAAAACAAAAGGTACAAATAGCCCGTAAATACATGGAAAGATCTTCAAACTTAACAATCAAAGAAATCTAAAAGCAATGAGATACAATTTATAGACTTTCAAATTGGGAAATTAATAATTAATAAATTGAAATTCATAAATTTCCTGTTATAAATCAGGAAAATAGTACTGGCAAGAGCATAGGGAAGCAGCATACACACTGCTAATGTCTCAGTATAAATTATATAAATTCGCATACTCTCTTCAAAAAGTAATATGCTGTATGCATCAAAACCTAAAAAAATATAAACCTACTGATCCACCAATTTCACTTCTAGAAATTCATTCTGAGGGAAATGCATGAAGATATATGTACAAGGCTGCTAAACATAATCTTTAAAACACTAAGATAACCTAAACATTGGATATTGAATAAATAAAAAAGACATCCACAGAATGAAACAGTAATGCTATTATTGAAAATTAACTTGTAAAAGTATGTTTATATTGATATTGAAATATATTTATGACATACTATTACAAAATAGTACTAGACACTATGTACACACATCCACATACCCAGAAAAACTCAAAAGGACGTGGACTGGTGTTGAACACTGGATAATGGGTGGTTTAAACTTTAATTCTTTCTTTTTTATGTTTCTCAGTTTTGTTATTTTTCTACTATGACTATGAATAGCTTGTATAATAACAAGTTTTTTAAATATTTAAATAAAGTGAAATTAATTGGCCAAGACACTACACAGTATACATTTAATAGACAATTTATAACTGCTAGATAGACTAAAATTTGTCTTTAGGAACTATAATTTAATTCTTACATATTTAAGGGAAGACAAAATAGAACAATGCACTGAGTCCAGAGACACGGGTTCTAATCCTGGCTCTGCCTGTGGTTAGCCAGATGGTCTTTAGGAAATCATTTAATTTTCTTTAGCTTTGATTCTTCATGTACTAAATGAGGATAATTGTAAAAAGTAAATTAAATAATAAATGTCTACTCACTGTAAAAAGACATCAAATGTTATCTTTGAGGCTCTGGTATTATTTTAAGCCCCTGGTATTATTCCACATTAATGGTATTAAAACATCCAGTGACTTGCAATTTAGGAATACATAGTTGAGTAATTATGATTCGATTTTTCCATTTAGCAAATAAACCAGCAGGACAGAAATTTCTAATAACCAGATGAACAATCTCTTAGAAATAAAGAACTACCAACAATCACACATGTAAGCTTTATCTTTGTATTGGTCCCAAGGCCATAACAGGTAGCTTATCAATGTCTAATGTTTAAAGTCTGCTAACAGATTAGAGAATTTACTGTGAAGAAATAAGTTTACTTCTCATTTTAGGAGAGAAACAAGCTTCCAGTTTTTAACAGTGCAAAAGTTAATGCAGTAGTAATCTTTCTATGAGCTTCTCTTCTACCCTTTTCCCTCCTCTTTCCAATTTCACTCAAACTGCCAGATAACCAGGGAATAAAGGAGTGAAGAGTCCTCCTGCCTCCAGCTCAGTATCTGGTCATAACACAGAGTTGGCTTAGATACCGAGCAGGTGCCTGCTTTGACCTAATCCTCCAAGGCTCTGTGATTCCTCTATGCAACAGAAACACAGTATTAATGACCACTTGGAATTTTTCATTAAAAGCAAAATATTGGCATTCATCTGTATCAACTCTCTAACTGTAATATCACTGTGTATATTATTTATATTCTTTGACATCTCATTTAAAATGTTTTACACCAAACAACCCCAATGATGTATTATTAGTGGATGGGTTTTTCATTCTGTTAGTATAAGAAGCCACTTAGTATGAAAATTTCATCTGGAATCTGTCTGTCCACATCTGTTAAGTTATAACACTTTGTGATTGCCATATCATGCTGTCAGCACAAAACAAAAACAGGAATAAAATAAAAAGGAAGAACCCAGGGGCCTTTTGCCAAAAGAGATTAGCAAAGTCATCTTGTTTGTCTGTCTTAGGAAACATCCTGCCTGGGCATTCAATCTCTTTAGGAGCCTGCTATATGGTACCCACATTTATGGCATTCCCAGCATGCCATGCTAAGGTTGCTCTGGGACAGCCTCACTGAAAAAGCACTTCCTCTTGATGCAGAAACCCAGGAAATTGCCACATCTCTTACGGGTGATGGAAGAAAACAGGGCAGAAAGTGGAATAAGGAACTGGATAACATACTTCAAGATCACACAAATCTGCAGAATTGTTGACATGCCCACGTACAAGATCAGACTGTTTTTCAAATTTTGCCAGACTACCTGACCACGTATGATTTCTAAATATCCTTTTTCCTTATTATCTATAGTGTAATTTTACAGTCATAGAGTTTTTAAGTAGAAAGTATTATAGGTTATCTGTAACTTTCATTAACTTTTTTTTTTTTTTTTTGCTTTAGCTTTCCATTTTCCTTCTTTTAAAGAATCTGGCCAAGAAATACTTAAGGAAAGCTTTCTTAAAATGGTAAAGGCTCTTTGTATAGGACACTGAAAAGGGGGGACCATGAATTTAAGGCTAGTTTAGGACTATGCCAGCATCTTCACTGAAGTAACCATGTTGGTTCTATAGCCCCAGTGCTTTACCCATAAATCAAGACAAGTAGACAGGACCAGTATAAGAGGCCACAATACTGCTGTGATCTCCCCAGCAATTCCAGGGACTTGGGACTGATGGCCCAGTGTTACCAAGGAGGCTTCTGAGGGTCTCGCAAACAAGAACTTGCCTTTTGTGCTGCCATCCATGACTAGAAACAAAGAGCACCCACAGAAAAATAAAGAGGCACAACCAACCATTGTCAATTCTATCGCCACATACAATATGGTCCTTAGAATGATGTGCAGCTGAGCAATACAAGAAGATAGCAGTTGAGGGAGGGTTTGAAGCTAGTCAGGATGTTCTCACAGACATACCTGAAAATGTGATCAGATTACACTCAAAGGGAGACTACACTTGATGTTCCTTGTGCTTCTCTTTCTCTTTGTCTTGTGTTTATATGAAATGTTGCTCAAAATGAGCCAGCCCAGGCCTGGGGTGCTGTCAGTCCTCTCATTCCTTCACTCCCAGCAACCTTACAGGACCCACTTGCTGTCTCTACAGACTGCAAAGGGAAGCCAAGAGTCCTCACATCTGCATAGTTCAGGTCACTCAGCAGAGAGAGCTCTGATGATGTAAGCTCCTATTTAACTGCAAGTGAACTAGTTAAATGCCAGGATCTGAGGTCTGTGATCTTATCTTCTTTCTGATGTCAGGTTCAGCTCACAGCAGACACTAAAACCACTTTCAGGTTCAAAGAAGGTATCTGGCAAGTCAAAACCCTTAACCACCAGGAAGGGCAGACATGATCTGTTTTTTACAAACCTTTGTTCTCTTAAGTCACGATTACTACTGGCTTAAATCCTGCTCATACTATTGTAAGTGTACAACTTGCTATGGTTAGCAAGACCAAAGTGATGGCAAACCTTTTAGAGACAAGGCCTCATTGCTTCTTGGCCTTTTGGCTACGACCAAGTGTAAAGACAAGTGCCCAAAGTGCAACCCAAAACTCACTTATTTATCACAAAGTACCAACACTGCAATTAAAGCTGAATACTGAGGTTTTAGTTTAGCAAAAACAACTCATACATTAACATCTTTTATCTTCAAAGAAAAACAACATGTATGCCACAGGTTCACCACCACTGGCATAACTATTTCCGATCTTCTCTACAAAAAAGGGACTGGTCAGAACCAGTTGCCAAGAATGCTGGAATGCCATGAGGCATTCTTTCTAGCCTACACTGATCATCCCATAGCTACCAAGTGCTTCGTGGAACAGCCATGCTTTCCTCTTCCTTCTTCCTCTGCTTTACTCTATTCTCCTTGACCCTAACTCTGAGACCTGAAAATCTATGAGACTTTCTCAAACTCGCTGGCTGAATGCTTAGAGTAAAACAGAATGACAATCCCTAGTAATTTAAACTATTATTTTAATAACTCTAATTCCAGAATCCTCAAATAAACAAGACTGAAGCTCACAACACGTTAACAAGTACATAATTTTATGTAACATAAATGTACACAACTAGCTTACCATTGATATTAATCAATGAGAGAATATTGTCCTGGTGATCAAGAAGCCGTTTAACTTCAGTAATATTCCATTCCAGTGATCCTTCTGTGGGTGCTACTAACCTGAAAATTACTAAATGAAAAAGACATTTCATTAAAATGTTCAAAGAAGATAAAATACCATTTCTGCTTAAAATGCAAGCAGTTCATTAAGTGAAAAATAGTTAATATATTGGAAACCCCATCGGCACAGACAGCCTTATTCATATCAATTTGAACTGCTTCTTTCAAATCTTGAGATGTCTAAATCGGTCTGCTTAAACCCAAAGTCTGAGTTTCCTTAGAACTCACTTTCTTCACTGACTCTTCCAAACCTACTGGCAAGCACTGAACCCTCCGCACTCCCTAGGGCTTCCCCTCACGCCTGGCTATGTGTACCCACCACTCCCCTAGCCACACACCCAATCTCTGCTTTCAGCTGTTCAACTCATGCTGCCAGACCAGGAAGCACTGCTACAAAATAAGCTTAACTTCAACACAGTGAAGGCTTTGACACCTTAAAAAAAATTTTTGATACCTTGGTATATACCTTAAATTATACATTCTCTAGGGATATATGCTTGTTGGTTTTGTATGCTATACAGTTCTTTTAATTACAGATGTTCAATGTGTTGCTTGACTCATTATGTGACTTTAACAAATACAGTTTTATTTAAACTAGAATAAATCCTAACTTTAATCAATACAGAAAACACAAAATCAAATTAACCAACAGGATTCTATAAACCAACATTCACTAAGCAACCATCTATGTTCTAGGAGCTGTGCTGTCAAATGTGAATAAGGCTCAGTCACTGCCCTGGAATGCACACAGCCCACAGTGGGAGTGAGATGTAGGCATGGACTTAGCATCAGTATACTAAGCACTAGGAGAAGCCCCCAGAGCAAGTTCCCTGGATGCTCAAAGATCAGGAGGCCTAACATCTGAAATGGGGAATATCCTTGGGTAGTAATTACCCGAGACTCTCTTCTTACATTCCTTTCTGGCAAACAGGTCATCCACCTTCCTTCTGGTATCTCTGACAGTATTTCACCAACTGACAAGTCTCTAGCAAAGTTAGTAAATTCTGACAGCCAGGCTACCAAAAGGTTTTTCAGTCAATACAGACAAGAACTTCCTGACACACCTATCAAACATATGTGAAAATGTGACTATGGGTGGAGGATGCCAAAACTGGAGATTGGGATTTTCAAATAGTAGTATATTGTTTAATCAAACTAACAGAGACGATAATCTGAAATATTGACCAGAAAAAGAAATGTGACCTAACATCTTGAAAATGTTTCCCTCTCTGTTATTTTTAGCAATCTCAAGAGGCCAAGCTGGGGCAGGGCCAGATATCCTTGAAATAAACAACTACTTTGTCTTTCCAGCACATATATCCTAGTCTAGTTTTAAAATACACATTTTTTTAAAAAACACAGAAAGAGAAGGAAAAAAAGAAAAAATTCATACTCACTCAGTTCCTTGCCAACTGCGGCTGCAACAGAGTTATTAGGTATTTCGACCAAAGCACTGATTCCTTCAGAGACACATAAAACAAGTCAAATCAATTTTTTCATGGATAGCATCAAAAATATTGTTTTATTTCAGTCATTTATCATAAATGGGGTGGTAACAATAAAGGACACAAATTTTGCTACACACACTCTCCTTTGCTTGCTTACATGTGGAAAATTCTTGTTCAGTAAATAGGTTTCTGAGGCCTCTGGAACATGCGGAACATCTTTACTGTTATGATAAAGTAGTATAGTAGCTATTCCAACTTAATGACAAGGATCCCGTTTGATAATCACCATCACCTATTTACAAGATGGCAAGCTCAAAATGAGATGTAAAATTGGAGCTTCCCCTCCATGTAAAGCTAAGAAGGCTGAGTATGTCCGTGGCATTAAGTGAGCCAGTGTGATATTGTGCAATAGATATTTGGTCCTCATGTTGCTTCCTGGCAAACAACTGCTAAAATCCTTTGGATTTTTAGATGTGGTGTCTCTTTATATGCTCATGGGATGACTGATGGCTGGTCACTGAAATGACCAAGGCAGGATGAGAGGGTTGGGTCTTTCTGTGCCACCTCCCAACCTCAAAGGAGAGAGAGGGAACTGAAGGTGAAGCTGGTCATTAGTGGCCAATGATTGAAGCAACCACACCTAGGTAATGAAGCCTCATTAAAAAAAAACCAAATGACAGGGTTCAGACAGATTCCCTATAGCCCAGTCCATGGCAGCTCCTAGAGGGTGACACACTTGCACAGAGTAGAGCTCCAGGTCCCTCCCAGGTGCCTTGCCCTGTGCATCTCCTCATTGGCAGCCTTCATAATATCCTTTATTACAAGTGCTGGCCTGAGTTCAAGATGCTCTCGCAAATTAATCAAACCCAAAGAGGGTCCATGGGAACCCCAATTTACGGATGGTGGGTCAAAAGCTTGTAAACAGCACCTGAAATGGAGTGGGGGCAGTGTTTGGCACTGAATCCTCAACAAGTGGCATCCAACACTGTATCCAGGCAGAACAGTCCAGAGGACATCCAGCTGGTATCTGCCACCACTGGCTCTATGCATGTTGTCGAATGAAAGCATAGGAGAAACTGAGACTGAATCTGTCACACCTGTATGAGCAGAGTTAGCTAACAGCTAGCCACAACTAAGAAAAAACCTTTTGATTAGCATGTATATGGTCAATTGCACATCTATACAATTTCTTGTATTACTGACATAATCAGATTTTATACTCTACCATATTTCATTTACTTAAAATATAGAGCTTTTTTTCCCTAAGGTTTTTGTCTTTGTTTGTTTAAGAGACAAAGTCTCACTCTGTTGCCTAGGCAGGCCTCAAACTCCTGGGCCCAAGTGACCCTACTGCCTTAGATTCTCAGTAGCTATGACTAGAGGCATGCACCACTGTGCCTAATCCTAGGTTTAGAGTTCTGAGTGTCTTTTCACATCTGAATTATGACATGATTTGAGGCTAACCATAACTTTTGTGAGATATGTTACAATGATTAACTTTTGTCAGAAGAATTAAAGAGTTGATATATTAAAATCAATACATACATTGGCAGAAAAAACTATTAGGGTTAATTTTCCCATTATGATATATATGTAATTTATAATATATATTCAGATTTGGAAAATATTCTACACATCTGCTGGTCTTTCCCACCTGAGAAAGACTAGTGGTGCTGTTGTGATTTGAACAGCATTTCTCACCTAATTTCTCCCCCACATGGGCTTGTTTTGTATTTTCCATGTATGAGGAAGGAGAGTTGCTATCAGAGGAAAAAGCACAGGAGTGCAGCAGGAGAAGGTAGAGAAGACAGAACAGGGACATGGTTAACAAGGCGATAATTTTAAATGAAGAAAATGTTTTACTTTTAAAATGTTTACCAGACGGGCATATCCATACTCTTGGCACTCTAGGAGGTTGGGTCAAGAGTACTGCAAGTCTGAGTGTAGCCTGGGCAACTTAATGACTTGGCAAGACCCTGTCTCAAAATTTTAAAAGGGAGGTAGGGGTGAGGATGTAGCTCAATGTAAAGGTCCTAGGTTCAATTCCTAGCACTGCCAAAAAAAGTTCTATTTAATTATCTGAAGTGGAAATACTTACTGAATATGGTTAATTACAATCTTCAGAACTGAAGAAAAAACTAATTTGGAGCTTTGTATTTATGAAAAGTTTCTGAAAACTCACTTGTCTTTCTAGAGTCTGTCAATTATGGTTCACAATTAACTTGATTTGTTCTTACCTGTATCAGAAATGTGGCTGGTCTTACACAAGAGATCTAATTTTCGGTTCCACACACCTAAGTCATTCCCACCAGACAGCCAAACCTCCAGGCTCTGAAGAACAGTTAGACACTGCAAAATTAATTTAAAATGAGTATAGAAACTCAAGTATGTGTCAGGTAGTTTTGAATTATGGCTGCAAGTTCAATAGAACCCCTCCCTTGGATAGGTGGAACTTATTTTTCCTCCCCATGAACTTAGGCTCCACTAAACCAATAAGATGAGTGTCTACATAATAGTGCCTACTATGCCTGATCCTAGTGTCACAGAATTAGGACAGAGGGATGTTTCAGGACTTATAAGAGGAAGTCACAGAAGACACTGTGAGGATACTCAAGCAGCCATATGGAGAGAGGTCCACACAGCAAGGAGCTGAGGCCTCCTGACACCATTAGCACTATCATGCCAAGCGGCAGGGACATTCCAACCGGAGGCCCCTCCAGGCCATATGGGCCTTCAGATGACAGAACTTGGACTAGAACCACTCACTGGAACATTTTCTATTCCTGACTACAGACACTGAGATAAGCCTTTATTGCTTCAAGTCACTTAGTTCTGAAGTAATTTGTTACTTAGTAATAGATAATACACATGGTTAAACCCTTTTTTAAATAATAGGGGAAATATGACCTTAGTTTTTGTTTTAAATTAACCATCTCCTGATTCCTCTCAATAATTCTGTTGGGAACTCGGGAAAGTACGTGTTCCGAGGACTACGGAACTGCTTTACCTTCAACTGCACCAAGGTCCATTAGACCCCAGAACAAGGGCAACACTGAGAGAGAGTTGAAAAGAGAAGTTGGTGGTTTTAATGGTCTCGCCCAGGCTGAGGGTAGTGCTGCTTTAAAACTGATGGAGAAAGAGTTGAAAATAATCGATACAGGTTACGTATCTCAAGAAGTCCAAACCTATCTAATCTCTGGGTTTTTAGTATCAGTACACTGTTCTATTTTATTGCCAAATAATATTCCACATACATTTTGCTTGTCCATTTGTCAGTTGGTGGACATTCAGGTTGTTTCCATTTTAGCTGTCATGAACAATGCTGCTCTGAACATCTGTGTACATGGTGTAGAGTGGACGTATGTTTTCATTTTTTTCAGGACAGTATTTAGGAATAGGATTTCTGGGTCAAATAATTCTATGTTTAACAATTTGATGAAATGCCAATGTCTGGGGTGACTACCATTTTACAACCTGCCAGCAATGTATGAAGGCTACAGTTTTCCATATCCTAATGAACCCTTGTTAGATTTGTCTTAGATATTAGCCATGCTAGTACATATGAAATGGTGTCTCAATTTCATTTCTGACTTACATTTCTCAAATGACTAACAACATTGAACTTCTTTGCATGTGTTTATTGGTCATTTGTATATAGTTTCTGGAGAAATTTTTTTCAAATCCTTTTGCCTATTTTTAACTGGACTATATCTTTTTATTGGTGAGAGTTCTTTGCATATTCTGGATATAAGTCCTATTAGGTACATGATTTACAAATATTTTTCCCATTCTATGGATTATCTTTTCACTTTCTCTGTGGTATTCTTTGAAGCACAAAAGCTTTTCATTTTAATCAGGTTCAATTTGTCATTTTTTATCTTTTTTTTTTTTTAAATAAGGTTTTGTAAAAACCTTGGCTGGTCTTATACTCATCAGGATCAAGCAATCCTGCCTCAGCCTTTCCAGCAGCTAGGTTTGCAGGCATGTATCACAGCACTCAGCTCAGCATCGTTTTGAAGAGACTCTTTTTCCTACTGAATGGTATTGGTGTCTGTGTCAAAATCAGTTGTTCAAATATATGAGGTTTTAATTCTGGACTCTCAATCCTATTCCTTTGATCTATATGTCTATCACTATGCAAGTACCACACTGTCTTGATTATTGTAGCTTTGTTTTGAAATAAGGAAGTGTGACAATTACAACTTTATATTACATTCCTTTTCAGGATTGTTTTGACTATTCTCAGTTTCCTGTACTTCCATGTAAAGTTTAAGATCAGCTCGTCAATTTCTAAAATAGAAGTCCAGCTATAATTCTGATAGTGTTCAATCTGTAGATCTATTTTAGTGTTGCAATCTTAACAACATTAAATCTAATCCAGGGTTGTCTTTTCATTTATTTAGATCATCCTTCTTTTTGCCTGTTTGGGTTTTTTGGTCTTTTGAGGCAAGGTCTTGCTATGTACTTCAGGGTGGCTTCGAACTTGCAGTGATCCTCCTGCTTCAGACTCCCGAGTGCTGGGATTACAAGCATGTGCCACCATGCCTGTCTACCTTCCTTAATTTCATTAACAACATTTTGAAGTTTTTAACGTACAAGTCTTGTACTTTTAAATTTATTTCCAAGTATTTTATTCTTTTGGAAGTAAGTGTAAACAGAATTTTCTTAATTTCATTTTAGGGGTGTTAATTGCTAATATATAGAAATATGATTGATTTTTGTGTTTTGATAGTATATCCTAAGAGCTTGCTAGATTAATTTGTAAATCCTACTGATTTTGTTGTAGATTTAGGATTTTCTATATATATGATAACATCACTTACAAATACAAGTGCAGACAATTCTGTTTTTTCTTTTCCAACATGGATGTCATTTATTTCTCTTTTACTGTTCAAATGCTCTGGCAAGAACCTCAAGTGCAATGCTGAAAAACTTTAAGTTTATTTCAGTGAAAGACACACTGCCATTAATTCCCGTCAAAATAGTGTCCCCCTTGCCTTGAACACATTCATCCTATCATTCTTGACCCTTTCTGAAGCAATTGTGGAAGTCCTTTTTCATGACAAACTTCAGCCACACTGTCATGGCTGCCTCCATGTCCTGAATCAATTCAAAATGTTTCCCTTTCATGATCATTTTGACTTTGGGGAAGAGCCAGGAGATGCACAGTGCCAGACCCAGTGAACAATGGATGAGGATACAGCGTCATGGTTTTAGGAACCTGTCTTTCATTGGATGGCACTTGGCAGCAGCACTCACAGTATTTTTTATCACTCCTCATAACGGAGATGAAAGAGGATACGACTTCAGAAAGCAACAAAAGAGCAATGAGATACATGTGTTTGAACTGAGGAGGGCTATTTTGAGGGGATTAATAGCAATGTATCTTTTAATGTAATAAATTTTAATTCAAATAGTCACTGTATGTTTCACTCACAACTCAAGTTTATGTATATGTACATAAACACACACACACACACACACACACACACACACACGCACGCACGCATTTTAATTGTTTCCCAGTAAGACATTAGGGTACTTACACTCATTTATAAAAACATATTTGTAATACACTTTTCTGTTCATAAATTGCTGCCCAAGTTTTGATTATTTCCTTTAAAGAGCTGCCTTGAATAACTGGGTCAATGCATACAGTCACTTTTTAAGATTCATTTTTAATACAGAACTGGCTTCCAGGAAGAGCATACCAATTTATACTCTCAAGAGCAATATAAGTGTCAATTTCACTATTTCCTTGCTATCACCAATCTTTAAAAAAACAAATTTTACTAGCTCAAAAAATAATTGTAGTGTTTCTGATATCATGGATCTGTATTTATTTGATTCAAGAATAACTAGCCAATTCCCCTGTTGGGTATCTTCCCAAAAGAATTAAAAGAATCATACCACAGTGATATATGTGCACCCAGGTCTGCAGTGGCACAGTTGTAGTTGGAAACAGCCCAAATACCCATCAACTGGTAACTGGATAAAGATGTGGTTTTTTAAAAATAAAATGGAGTACTACTCAGCCATAAAGAATAAGAAATTAGAGACATTTATAGCTAAATGGATGCATATTGAGGACATACTCTTAAGTGAAATAAACAGGATATACATGTGTAAATACCGAATAGTTTCTCTGGTGTAAGACACCGAAAGTGTAAGTGAAGACCAAAATGTATAAAAGATAATGTAAAAAGGAAAAAAGGTCCAAAGGGGAAAGGGAAGAGGAAGGGGAAGTGAAAGTGGAGGGGGGTAGGAGAAAGGAAAGAAAGGAAAGAAAAAAGTATGAGACAAGGAAAAAACAGAAACAAAGTCTTTATAAATAGGGAGAGGTGGAGGGGTTGAAGGGAGGGCAGGGAAATGGGGAAAAAATAAGAACCAAGATATATCATGTACAGATACAAATTCTCAATGATGAATGCCATCATACTGTATACCTAAAATGTACCAATAAACTTAATGAACAAAAAAATAATAATAACTAGCCAAGCTATGCATGATGGCACACCCCTGTAATTCCAGCACTTGGGAGGCTGAAGCAGGAGGATCTCTGGGATTTTAAGGCCAATCTGAACTACATAGTGAGACACTGTCTCAAAAAAAAAAAAAAGGAGTAACTAGTCAGTGGTGGTGTACCTGTGGTGGCACACACCTCTAATCCTAGCTACTCAGGAGGCTGAGGCAGGAGGATCACAAGTTTGAGGACAGTCTGGCAATTTAGCAAGACCCTGTCTCAAAAATAAAATGAAAAACGGGCTGGGGATATAGCTCAGCAGGAGAGCACTAGCCTCCAAGGCTTAACCATGTTTAATCTCCAGGACCTAAAAAACAAACACAATGGAACCACTGTACTAAAGTAAGCACAATGCTCTTCTTTTAAACAATTTTTTATGTGAAACAGGATCACACCAGGAGTAAGCAAATATAATTATCTAGTAAATTAGTGTGACAATAAAACCCCTTTAAAGAGTATTTTCAGGATACTGAAATAAGGTACTTTTTAACCTACCAATTGCTACACTTAGTTCATGGAATAGCTCCTTAAGGAATTTCCCTGAAATACACTAAATTTTTTCCTCTTTCCCTGTTCCTTCAATTCATGTATTTTCATTTGAAACCTACTGACCTTATTAGCTTTGTAGATAGCAAGAATTAATTTTAAAGGAATGTAAAAGTAGCATCTTTTCAGACCACATAAAAGAGATTTTCATCTATAATAACTTCTTCAAAGAAAGGCCACTGTTAAACTAGACGTGCACTAGTACATGATACTTCTTTCCCCAGAAACTTTACTAAATCGATACTTGTAACAGTGTAGTGCCACGAGGTGGCTGTGAGAGGTGCTGCTTTTTAGGAAAATAATGATGTAGCCTATTGGCACACCCAGCAGTTCTTTTCATCTTAAAAAAAAAAAAAAGGTGTTAGCTCAAGTATATATATATCAGCTATCTTCAAAACAAATTAGGAAATGTCTCATTTTACTAGTCTTTTCCCAAACTAGCTAACATTAAAAAGCAGTGTTGGGTCAGGGATTTAGCTCAGTGGTGCCGTGCCTGCCTGGCAAGCTCAAGGTCCTGAGTTCCATCCTCAGTTGGGGATAGGGGGAGCAGTTTTACTTTCCCAGAACGCTTATGGTTATTTCTTCTTATAAATCACAACTAAGTTTCAGCCATGTTTGTTTTTTTAGCACACAGCAGAGTTCTTATCATATAACCCTAAGTAATATTTATAAAATGAGTGAACCTAATAGTAGAAGACAATTAGCCACATAAGATTTTTAGTTTTGGAGCTAAGTAACTGACACATCAGAGTAAGCAGAGGTGAGGGACAAACAGCTCTATATTTTTAGTTCAGAGTATAAAGAAAACTGTTGACAGTCATTCTACAAGTAGCACCTCTTCTGAGAATTACCTGCTAAAGACATGCCAGGTCTTTTTCTTCATTCTGCTGTAGCAATTAGATCAGGGTCCAGTTCTAATTAAAACATTCTAACATTTAAAACATATGCTCCCAAAAATCTAGCCTCAGACTCAAATGAATGTAGGTGTCTGAAAGACGTAATTTTTTAAACCTACAAAAATAATTTCATCTAATTTATTAAACCATTTTTTTCTCAGACAAAAGGACCAAAATGTATAACAGATATTGTGAAAGAGGAAGAAAATGTTCAAAGGGGAAGGGGAATGGGGGGGGGGGGTGAAGAAAAGAAGGAAAAAACAGAAACAAAGCTTATGTATATGGGGAGGGGGGAGGGAATGAAGGGAAGGCAGGGGAATAGAAAAAAATAAGAACCAAGATACATCATGCACAGGTACAAATTCCCAATGATGAATGTGATCATAAGGCATACCTAAAATGTAGCAATAAACTCAGTAAATAAAAACAGACATAATAAAAATTCATATTTGCTTGAGATTTTACCTTCACAGTAGACTGGAAGCATGATACTCTCTGAACTTGTCTGCCTGTATCACAATCCCATACCTAAATTTATGTTAAGAAATTAATTTCTAAATAGAATTTTTAAATTGTAATTATAACTTTTCTAATTAACAATTAAGTCACATATGCTAAACATTCAGCTAGAAAATCTTTAAATAAAATATGAAATATTTAGTATTTATATTATCATGGATATTAATTCATATAGTGAGTAATCAACTTTGCAGAACAGGCTTACAATCTCAAATAAGCTTGACGTAAATTTTACTATCAAACTGTTTGAAAATGCCAAAAGAATTAGTGGTTTGATGTACTGAGTCTTTATAGGCACTAAATATTGCACTGTTTCAGGTTTATTCTCCACAACAGTCTACCATAAATATGGACATAAAGAATTTCTACTAAGAACTGTCAAATCTATTATTATTTCCTGAAAGCGCCCTGTAATACCACTAGCATGACTTATTACTATTACCCTTAGCCTGATTCAAAGAACATGCCAACAGTGTCTTACTGTTACCTGTATATGTATCTAAAACAACAGAAAGCCTTTCCTAAAATGTCCAGAGCTAGGGTGACTTCAGAGCCTGATGATTCTCAAATTTTTGAAACTATTTCCTATGGTAAGAAACACACTTACATCATGTCTGACTTTCATACATGTAAGTCTGTATTTATATTCAAAAACGGAAAGGAATTTCACAAATTAACCCTATCATGTTCAATGCATTTTTTATTATATCCTATTTCATTCTTTAGACATATAGATATCTATATATACATCTATGTATCTATTATACTAAACAAACTGCTGGCACACAGAAAGTGCTCCTAGTAACCAATGTTTGCTAGCATTACATTTACCACACTTTTTTTTTGATACCGGGAATCAAACTCAGGGCCTCGCACTTGCCAGGCAGGCATGGTACTGCTGAGCTACAATCCTGGCCCACTTATCACAATTCTAATATTATCTCTCATTCTTTTCAGGTATTATTTGAAAGATGAAGGTTCAGGGCTGAATAACTTGAGCTCTTAAGGGTATCATGTGACAAAAAAATTTAAAAATCTACCTTTAGCATTTAAAGAAGCATTTAATTAATACTGAAGGTCCAGACAGAATAAATTTAGAATTCATTTGGGTAAAACAAACCTGCCAACTAAGCAACCTAAAACTTTTATTTTTAACCAGAAATCATTCAGCAAAGGAAATAACTCTATACTATCATTTATTGATAAAATTTATACTGGTATTATCCCAGCTACTTTTTATTGTAACAGTGATTTTAATAATTGCCTTGAAATACTATTATAGTGTCTTAAGAATGATCTAATAAAGAGAAAGTATTTTAAATTCTATTTTTGCAGAATTTATACTGGAAAAAAGTTTTACTCCATAAAATAGTATTTGCTTCAATAGAACAGCAGTAAAAATGCTACTCTGGCCTACACTTTATGCCCTTATTTATGTCATCAATTAATCACACAAAATATATTAGCTGATGAGCTCGTTTAAAGTATGGTATTAAGGATATCTTGGTTCTATAGAAGCCTAAGAAATAGCTAGTCTTTTGGGTTTACTCCAAAACTTAACATTATTAATGCTCCAAACTGCTTAAACAGAACTTTCAAATAAGCAGAGATATTTTTTTAAAGCCAATCTGGTGCCTTAAAAAAAAATAATGAAAGAACAGATTTATCCAGAGCACCTGGCTATGGGCTTCACAAGTTTAGTTCCTCATTAGGTTAATAAAGGGCCGAATTTGTTTAAGAAGATATTTTATGAAGACTGTTGGATAGTGGGTCAGAAGTTGGGCTTTTCAGCCAGACTGTTAGCCACTTCTGCCCTACACAGGCTGTGCACATTGGAGAAGTTATTTAATGTTCTCTGAGCTCCACTTTCTTATCTGCAAATGACCATAACTAAAAGTACCTCTTTCAAAGGATCCATTTTTAAGGATCAAATGGGTCAACATATATAAAACACAACATAGCACACTAAGCCCTTTATAAAACTTTACCATTTCTGTTACATTTAACTTCATACTAAAAGAATGGGGGGGGGGGACCATAACTTAACTTTATTAAAATTGTTTTAAACCCTGAATGCCAAAATTAAACACTGAGTAGTGGTAATGTACTTTTTTGCAGACTTACAAGCTCATGGCTTGGAGCCATTTAGTTGCTTTTGCTATAAAATGGGAGGGTTAAAAGCATGAATTATTATCCAGTCCAACTCATCTTTGTTTCCCTAAATTGAAAAGCAAATTGAGATAATACAATAAATAGTTTTAAGGCCACAGTCCTCCATTTCCTTCATTTTGTACACCTTGATATAATAGTAACTCTGGAAAAAACAGCTTCAGTCATGAGGTTTCCATCAACACAAACCTTAACCTGTTATTTCTAGTCTAATACTTTTCAGATATTTTTAAGAAGTGTCTTATGAAGACTAGAAAAAAAATCATTTTTGCTACTACAAGAAGGTTCAGACTAACCCCTAGAGACTAAAGACTAATAATGTATGTAGGGCCCCTGGAGTCACTGTGGCTGCTTCACTTTCTTCCAGACTTAAGGATATAATAACTGTTCGATCAGCAGAGGCTGTCAGGATGAGCTGATTTTTTTCTTCACAAGATTCCAAGGAAGGAAATGTAATAATAGCTGTTATCTTTTGAGTATGTCCATTGAGTTCCAAAAGTTTTTCTCCTGTCTGAAATACCAATAAAAATGTTAGCAGGTTCATCTTTCCAATTTAAACATTAAATGACAACATTAAGAATGATTGTGGACCAGGGATTTAGATCAGTGGCAGTGTGCCTGCCTTACAAGCACGAGGTCCTGAGTTCAATCCCCAGTACCAAAAAAAAGAAAGAAAATAATCTAATCTAAGAATGACTGTGTAGAAAATATATATATATTCTATTTCAAAATTACTTATCCAGGATTTATAATGTTAATTAAGCAATCAAATAGAATCTAAACAAGTGCTAAAAAAATAGCTATAAATAATTTTTGAACAGATAATCTAATTTAAAGGGATATTTTCTATGATTTTAAGAATACATAATAATTATATAAATTAAGCAATAAAAACATTACCAACTCAATCTCTAGGGAAAAAAATAGGGAATTATTTATCTACCTTCTAAGCTGTGGAAGAAAGTCGGTCATCATAACCACAGTGTGTGCATGTGTGTATTATACTGATTGATCACCGCATATAGTTAGTCTCCACTCCATCACCACATAACACCAGCATCCATTCCCACCCATTCAATGGACTCCTGACAGTCTCTCATTCATACACCAAGCAGTCAACATACAAAAATAAAACATAAACAGTATAAATTGCAAATCTGTACCAGGTTGCAGGATTTCATGAATACATAGAAGTACCCTGGCCCTCCGCATCCACCAGTTCTGTAACCATATATGCAACAAACCTCAGATCAAAAATATTTTTAAAAAAAATTGTGTCTGCACTAAGAGTGCACAGACTTTTGTCATTATTTTTTAAAAATAGTACAACAAGTATTTACATAGCCTTTACATTTCTTTTTTTTTCTTTTTCTTTTTTTTCCGTGCAGGGAGACCGTTTATTTCAAAAGGATTTTGCAATAGACATACTGAGCAGGCTCCAGGCAGCTGTTCTATTCTTCTCCCTCATCCTCATCCTCATAGAAGTCAATGTCTACTTCTTTGTAATCCTTCTGCAGGGCAGCCATATCCTCCCAGGCCTCTGAGAACTCACCCTCCTCCGTGTTCTCTCCCACACACCAATGTACAAAAGCCCTCCTTGCATACATCAGGTTGAACCTGTAGTCAAGGCGGGCCCAGACCTCAGCAATGGTGGTCGTGTTGCTCAGCATGCACAAGGCATGCTGAACCCTGGCCAGGTCACCCCCAGGCACCACCGTGGGCGGTTGGTAGTTGATACCAACCTTGAAGCCCATGGGGCACCAGTCTACAAACTGGATGCTGCGCTTCGTCTTGATGGCAGCAATGGCAGCACTGACATTCTTGGGCACCACATCTCCATGGTACAGCAGGCAGCAGGCCATGTACTTGCTGTGCTGGGGGTCACACTTCACCATCTGGTTGGCAGGCTCGATGCAGGCACTGGTGATGGCCACTGACAGCTGCTCGTGGTAGGCCTTCTCTGCAGAGATGACTGCTGCATAGGTGGCCAGGGGGAAGTGGATGCGAGGGTAGGGCACCAAGTTGGTCTGGAACTGTCAGGTCCAGGTTGAGGGCCCCATCAAAGTGTAGGGAGGCGGTGATGGAGAAGACAATCTGGCTGATGAGGCAGCTGAGGTTGGCATAGGTTGGGCGCTCGATGTCCAGGTTGCGGCGGCAGATGTCATAGATGGCTTTGTTGTCCACCATGAAGGCACAGTCTGAGTGCTCCAGGGTGGTGTGGGTGGTCAGGATGGAGTTGTAGGGCTCGACCACAGCAGTGGACACCTGGGGGGCTGGGTAGATAGAGAACTCCAGCTTGGATTTCTTGCCATAATCAACAGAGAGCCGCTCCATCAGGAGGGAGGTGAAGCCAGAGCGGGTGCCCCCTCCAAAGCTATGGAATACCAAGAAGCCCTGAAGTCCTGTGCACTGGTCAGACAGTCTGTGGATACAGTCCAGCACAGGGTCAATGATCTCCTTGCCAACGGTGTAGTGGCCACAGGCATAGTTCTTAGCATCATCTTCTTTCCCAGTGATAAGCTGCTCTGGGTGGAAGAGTTGTCAATATGGGCCATTTCGGATCTCATCAATTACAGTGGCTTCCAGGTCCAGAAAAACTGCCCGAGGCACATTGGGTTGTACAAGTAATCTGGAGCTAATTTAAAGTACATATAGTATGTGTAGGTTAAATGCAAATATTCAGTGATTCTGGTGATCCTCTGTGGGTCCTGGGGAGACTGATGTTAAAGAACAGCTTCGGTATGTGCAAAGCCACTGAAAAATGAAGATCACACAGCCCAAAATAAAGGTACAATGAGAATAAAATCCTTAAAAATAAAATCATTTGAGAAACAAAGCATCAGGAAGTCCTGGAGACACTTGGTGATGCCTTTAATATTTTTTGAAAAAGCAGACTTTCTGATATCTTACTAGTCAAACATGAGGAGAATGTTATGTGATGCTATTGTACAATGCTGAAAGAATTGAACCTCTCAATTCGAAAATCAACGCTTGATCCATTCTGGAAGTCAGTGATTAGTTGCTTATGATGTAAATTTTGTTCAGTAAGACTAAAATTTTTATTTTCATAAAATGACATTTATTTTTCAGGAAAATATCTTAATAAAGATTATTCAGGCAAGGTGGCCCATACCTGCAATTCCAGCACTGTGAGAGGCTGAGGCAGGATGGCGGCAAGTTTGAGCTCATCCTAAGCCAACTCACCAGATTCTGTCTCAAATTTTAAAAATTTTTTTAAGAAGCTGATAGCTCAATGCAGAGGCCCTATGCATTTAATTCCCAGGCACACACACACGCAGAGAGAGAGAAATCTATCCTTATAATGGTCCCCATTTTAAATAAATTTATCCAAGACACCCTTTCCAGGTATTATTTACTCTCAAAAGATAATGACATGCAAGTATCCATATATAGTACTTAAGAATACTCAAATATGTGGTCATATATTTATTACCCAATCCACATATAATCAATACAAACCTGAGCATTCCATACAACTACAATTCCATCATCACCAGCAGATGCAAATCTGGTTAGAGAAAAAAAGTCAAGAAAAAAATCACTGTTGATATTTAATTGGTAAATTAACTAAGAAATATCATATTTTATCAGTGGTATTTTGGCTTACTAACATTAATGAAGACTATGTTCTCTAAGCTTAGTTAACAAATATTTATTAAATGCCTTCTGAGTTCTATGCCAGGTACTAAGGATCCAAAGATATATAATACATTTACATGGTTACAAAGAATAACCTGCTAGAAATGTAAAAATGAAGGAGACACAAATATGACCTTTAAAGTACTTCCTTGCTTTAAAATTCTGTGATTTTTTTTTTTTTTTAGAAATATCTGATAAATGAAACAAAACCAAGCTGAGAAGCAACTTCCCTGACAGGAAGTGATAGTTCAAGGGTAGAATGGAATCATGTCCTCAGTTTCATTACTTGTATTATTTTCTCTATGAAGATATTTAAATTCTATTATTCAAAGTTGAGACCTCTCCGTTCATTTGGCTTTTATGTCTTTTCACATAGACATGGGGCTCTTGGTTTGGAAGGTTTGGGGCTTTTCATTGGTTTTTAGTGAAGAAGTTTGAAATGCAAAGAGGCAAAGGTAAAGGAAAGTCTGTTTCGTGGCATAAAAAACAGCTGTAATAAACTCTACTTTATCTCTCTTCTTCACCTCCCATTCTCTATGTGTAAAAACAGGAACAATAATCTACATTCAGTAGAGTAAATGATATCCTTGACACAAATACTATCAAGAAAATAATTTATCTAACAGGATTATTCATCACAATGACTATATTATAATAAAGTCAAAAAGCACCATTCTAAGGCAGTAACTCAATACAGTGGTATACCATAATTTCTAAGCATGTCAAATCATTTATTAAAAATGTAGTGCACATTTCGCAAGCTCAAGGACCCAAGTTTGATCCCCGGTACCAAAACAAAAAAACAAAAAAAACAAAAATGTAGTGCATAACTTTGTAAATGAATTTTAATGACTCAGAATCAGTTCAGAGTCTTCCCCATAATATCACATCCCCTTGAAATCAGGTTTACTTTTTGAATAAGCGTACAAGAGGTGGTGGTATAGATACTCAGCTATGAATTGCTTGTCATTGGCCCCTTATAGTTAACAAACATTAATAAATGATATTCTACTAACATCCAGCACATTTAGAAAACTTGTAGTACTTCCTTGCAAGGGTGTTAGTGGGTATCACATAATCTGGGTATGCCTTGGATATGTGTACTCAAATAAGCATTGTTGGCTAGACACATATCATTGAGGAAAGGTAGACAATGGTAACACTGGACACAGAAATCACTTTGTTTCCACGGGGCATTGGTGCATATAGAGTTTACTCCTGTAGGAGAACATAAACTCTCATGACTTCAGCCATTAACACCTCCTTAATACTCGAAACCCAGCTTCAAGTTCAAATTTTTCATGCTCAGTTTCACAATCCCCCAAATGTTGTCCAGTACTTCACCCTCACTTCACAACCCTCTGATTAGATTTTCTGTTACAGTAAGAGGATATTGAGCAAATGGGACACTGGTCAGTCAGATGGGGACTGTTAATAATATTTAATAAAGCATTATGTACCTTTTAATGGGAACAACCATAAGACTAATTAGTGAACTAGCTATAAGCCACAGAGTTAATTTTAAATCCATGCCTAACATTTATTATTTCAAAATGTAAGAGATAAAAAGATCTGGAGATCAAAAAAATAATCATTTTAAGTTAAAAAATATTATTTTCTGTGCTTACTTATATACATTTTCTAAATCCAAATACTAAACAGTGCCTTGAGTATCAAAAGTAGTTGCTGGAAGTAAATCTTTAATAGCTTATGTTTCTGGGCTTATTGATTTCTTTTTATTTATATAGTGATGGCAGGGAGGGCAGGTCTAGGGGTCTTAAGTTTTCTTTGGTACAAAACATCAATTTCTATTGATTCTTTAAACTCTTGTAATTGCTTTTCTCCCGTTTAGAAAGCTGCAGGTTTAAAATACACACTTTTTTCTAATCCAAATATTTAGCTTTCTCATTCTTGTTTCATGTGTGGATCTCCAATGAGAGATGACTGAACTGTTAAGAGTTTAGAAATGAGATACAGAGCATTTCACCTCAAACTTTAATTCAATCAGTAGAAAACAAAAGTTAAATCTAAACAATGCTCGATAGTAATGCATGAAATCACAGTCAATTTTTTATTACTCAGAGGTCAATTATCCAGTTGGCCAGACTATTCAGGCCTTTCAATTCTCCTATATATTCTATTGCTGCCTTTTTATTTTTTAACCAGTTCAGTATTTATTGCTACCTCTTCTCAAAATAAAACATAAAGCTTTAAAATGCAAGCCAGTGTAACTTTGCTACATACTGGTATCATAAAATAACTAATAAAAGGCTAGGGGAGCATTAACGGATTACAATTACCTATCCTGCTATGAGGGATAGCTAAAAACTACCTGCATTGTATTAGCTTATCTAAAACCAAATCCTAAGAAGTCAATCATGTGCTCCAATCATCTCCAAATCAGAAGTGAAAATTCAACCCAAGAATTCCTAGAAGTAAGATATACTACAAGTGCTGAAAGGAAGGCACAAACTACCAAAAAAGATCAATTAAAATGTCAGTAAATGTCAGCTATTTAATGAAAGAAGAATGGTGACTATATTGCCATAACATTTTTTATACAGAATCCAAAGACATAAACCTAGGAATAAGATTTTGAGAGAAATGGTTCTTTACTGATTAGCACCAAAATATATTTAGTACAATTCCAGCCTAGGATTAAGGAAATATCAAGACGAATTAACATGGAGTTCTTGCCTTGAGATCTCACAATTGAACAATTAATTGCTTAGAAATGTATTGTATTTCAACAAATCTAAGGCATCACCAATTGTAAAGCTCTCTTGTTATTTTATGTACCATTAATGAAAAATGCTGCCAATTATAACTAAAAGACAACACCAATTATATGATGTGTCCAAATTCTGGAGATGTTAAAATACGGGGGAAAATGCTTATCAGAATCAATAAAATATAGTAATTATCATACTTATTGATCTTTACAATACTGTACTTTCTAGTCTAACAAATCTCTGCTTATCTGATAGGTTTAAAGTGCTAAAGAAACACTTGTTGAATGAATAAATGAATAAGCAAATTTTAAAGTATTACAAGGTTCTATGAAATACATTAATGGCATTAATGTAACCTCATCATTTCCCTTTGTCAATATTAATGTATGAATGTATGTTAGAATAAAAATAGGAAATTTAAAAATGCTTAAGCCCAGAATCCTACTTTTAAGTTTTCTTAACTTGAAAGCAAGTCTTTAAAACTTCTCAGCTATACAATTAAATGATTAAGCCAAAATTACATGCAAGAAAAACAAGTTTAACAAGATGAAACGGTTTAATAAAGACCTATAACAGACCTTCTAGACTAAATTAAGCCAATAATTCACTCATTTATTTAAAAAATATTTATTAAACACTAATTATATACATGATTTATACTAAAAAAAAATCAATGAGATGGTTCTTGCCCTTGTGTAACTATAAGCTACAGTATGAGTCCATGGAGAATTCTTTCAATTTATTGAAATCACTACCCGTAAATACTTTCACTCTGAATATCTCAGAAAAAGTATTCTCACTGTTGACAACTGTGCTGTGAAAGCACAACACAGCTTCACAATGATTAATCTAAAATAAAATGAATTTTACAAATAATTTCTGGGTCCACTACCTAAATACCCATTTAATAGTTCTTACTCATGTGAAGCCATTTTGATCAACTCAAAGGTCCTGCAAATTCAAATATAATCTTAAAGGACATAATAAAAAGCATTGTCCATATCCTTGAACATAAAACTGCCACTATTCAATATCCACATAACCCTAAATAACTGGAAAAATCAAAATAGAACATAATCATGATAGTTCAGAAAGTCTCAGTGGTTAACTTGCTACCTAATCTGCAAATACTTTCTAAACATGACAAAATATGATATTTTTTCAATAAAATAAAGTTGAAAATGCTACAATACTAAAAATCAGACAAAACTGAAAACTAACAATTTCACTTAAAATTGATTTCTGTTTTTATACTAAAACTACTTGAAGCAAATTATAGAAGTATGCACACAGAGACAAGAGAAGTTGAAGGGACCTTTTCAGGAGCCATACGTGCCAATGCCAGATTCTTTCATGCTATCTCCTTGAACTTAAACTTTTTCTTTGATGAAGAAAAATGTTATTATGTGGGCTACAGAAATAGCTCAGTATACAGTACCTGCATAGCATGAGCAAAGTCCTAAGCTGGATCCCCAGCACCACAGAAAAAAGCAAAAATATATTATGTTAACACAAGTCCAACATCTAAAAGTGTAAGATCTATTTTTGTTCACAAATAGAATGAAGGTGACAGAACTCCACAGATCTCAGGGATACCTGCAAAGGTAAAAATCTCTGATAGATCTTCCCTTCCTTTGAATCACAAATAAAAAGCTAAAGGACACATCAAATTACAGTATCGGAATACACCTCCCGCCCCCCAAGTCCCTGTGACTTCTATCACGGGGAGCCTCCATTTCCCTGAGCTGGAGTCTCTCTGAAGGAACAAATCTGGCTCTCTCTGCCTCGCTTGTGTAAGTGAGAGAAGGAATTGCATATGCTCAGCTCAGCCTCTTCTGGGTTTTCTCTGAGGATATGTGAACAGAGAGGGAACATTCTGGGCTGTTCTGATTTTGGAGGAAAGCCTATGTCTGAGTGTGAGGCTTCCAAGTGTCCACTTGCACGAGAGATTCAGTAAGTCTACCTAATTTAGGATGAACCTGAATAAGGAACCCACTGTTTATAACCAAAGTTTTTTATCAGTCCTTTCTTTTTTCAGTTATTATTTTATTGAGCAAATATGTCCATCTGTGTGACCCTTGCATTAGTTCCCAGTCAATTCTGTCCTCCAAGGGAATGTGGCTGTTTCTCCATTGAA